AGGTGGCAGGAGAGTATGGAGGGATGGACACTGGGAAGAGGTAACTATGAGGAGGAAGTGGGAGGGGAGCTGTTGCATTGTGGTAAATTGTGGTCAATGACATGAGACAAAGTATATGTGAACTGCTGTATGAAAAGTGAATTTGCTCTGTAAATCTTCACCCAAATCAAAATAATAATAAAAAAAAAAAAGAATCAAAGGAATCACAAACACATAAGACTTATACTTTCATGTAGTTTTTCCTTTAAAAGCACACATTATTTCTTTACATGTGTCTCAATGTATGTATATACACACAGTGGACGTTGTTTGTTCGGAACAATGATCATAATGATAAAGGTGATAATAAGACAATAATAATAATATTAATAATAAGAATAAGAAGATAATAAGATAATAAGGCATTTATTGAGGGCTAAATACGTACTCACCACCTATCTTTCAGCTTCTCCTACTGTGGTGGCTTGGGTTGCTGTGATACTGGGTGCTATGCCACCAGTATTTCAAATATCAGCAATGTCACTGGTGGTGGAGAGGTTTAGTGGAGCTTCTAGACTAAGATAAACTAGGAAGAAAGGCCTGGAGATCTATGTCTGAAAATTAGCCAATGAAAACCCTGTGGATCACAACAGAATATTGTCCCATATAGTGCTGGAAGATGAGTCCTTACGTTGGAAGGCATTATCATGAAGATGGTGCAGGACTGACATTTCATTCTGTTACACAAAAGGTCTCTATGAGTTGTTGTTCACTCTATGGCAACTAACAACAATAACAAATACGTACCAGACAATCTCTAAGCACTTTTCATATAACATCTCATGTAATCCTTGCAAGAGCTCTATGAAATAGCTCTGTAAAACTATCACTATGTCCATTTTATAGATGAAGGAACTGAACTACAGAGGACTAAGTAACCTGACCACATTTACATAGTTAGTAAGCAGCTGGGCTGGTATTCAAACCTAGGATTCTGACTCCAGATCCCTTACTCTTAACTCTTAAACTGTACTGCCACTTAAGTATTTGGGGTTGGAAATTCCCAAATACATTCTCAGGCCTAGGGAGATATTCTCCATCAAGGAATGGTCATTGCAGAGCTTTCTGCTTAGTATTCTGAAGCAGTTAGATAACTTAAATTTATAGTAAACATTTGTGTTTTTACTTTTGTGATGATTTAAGAAAATGAATATAAACATAAACTACCAGCCTTCTGGTTAGCAGTCAAATGCCTTAGGCACTATGCCAGCAGAGGTCCTTTTTTTTTATTATTTTTTTGTATATATGTAGATGTCACTGCCATAAAAACAATTGAAGCTTCCACCAGTTTCCTTTAAAAAGAGTCCATATATTACTTTGACTAACACCAACGCTGTTGTTCTGGAAACAAGATTACCAGCTCTTAGAGAGAATACAGCAACTGTCTCCTCATAAACAGTGCCAGGTTTAGGAGACTTACGGTAAAACCATGTTCCCTAGGAAGTCAGTACAGAAAACCAGACTTCTACCGGCAGTTTCTGGGAGGGATGAGATTTCCATCCATCGCAGTGTTTTATGTTTTCTCTGGGAGATGTTTATAATCGAAAAGGCTCAACTGTGGTATTTATCAGTCTCTCCTGTACCCCTAGAGTTTTGGTGGAGTTGCTGATGGGCAAGAATAAAATGAACTTGCTATCTTGGCATCATGGAAAACCTGGACTCAAGATTCAAAAACGCCCCGTATTTCAGTTGTGAGAAGAGAAATGATTCTGTCCCTGTGTGCCAGAAGTGCGAAACGTGTGTTTTGGCCTGGAAAATCTTCTCTACCAAAGAGTGGTTCCGAAGAATCAGTGAAGTATCGCAGAGGAGGTTTCTAGTTAGCATTCTGAAGCAGTTAAATAGCTTATATTTGTTACACTATTTCCAAAACATCCTTCTTACCACACAAGGGAAAGATTTAATATATAATAGGTCCCGAATCCACCTCAACAGGAAAGAAGGGAAAACTGTGAAGTCCTCCTTCAATCAAATGTTGGATAAAACAGTGGAACAGAAGATGAAGGAAATCTTGTGCTGGTTTGGGAGTAGCACCCACCGGACCAAGGCAAATTACACTCTTTTGCTGCTGCAGATGTGTGACCCCAAGTTACTGCTCACTGCTGCTAATGTGATCAGAGTCCTGTTTCTGAAAGAGCGGAACACTGTCGTAGGTAAGCAGGGCCACAGGTAGAGAACATAGGGCTCTCCAAGACCAGAAACCAAGACTTTTGGAGCCTGGGAAGGGACCAGAGGTGTGGGCAAGCTTAGGTAGATGGGTATCTTCTAGAATTCAGAGTAAGGCTCCTTCTGTCTCCTTGTCTTGACACCTGATCCTGTTTACCAAAGGAGAAATTGCTGACTGCGAGTTCCTTCTGGAAAGATTATAAAATGACAAATGCAGAAGGAAGTACAGAACTTAAAACTGTAAAGCATTTAGGATTTCTGTATCCCTTAGGTCCAGAAATGGCTGATCTTCTGACTACAGAATGCCAGTGTGGCTCCTGCATTAGGGATTGGTTTGGGTTTGGGAGGGATGTAGCCAATAATTAGTTACCATCAAGTCAATTCTGACTCATGGTGACTCCAAGTGTGTCAGAGTAGAACTGTGCATCGTAGCGTTTTCAATGGCTGATTTTTCAGAAGTAGATCACCAGACCTGAGGCACCCCTGGTTAGCAGCCAAACACGTTAAACACCACCAAGGGTCTCCTGGGAGAGATGGAGGGGGGAAGCTATTAAATTGTTTTTCCTTTTAGCTGCACTGTACAGAAACCAGGTCAAGTGATTCAAATTCAGGGTTTTATTCATTCCTTCCACCAGCTTTCTTGTTGGTGCACCAATTCAAACGTTGAGGTGGGGTTTATGCAAGCCTGGAGATAGCTAGAGTAAAGTATATCTAAGGAAGTGGTTCTCAAGCTTTAGCTTGTCTCAAAATAACCAGGAGAGTTTCTTAAAACACAGATTACTGGTCTCTGCCCCCAGAGCTTCTGACTCCGTAAGTCTGAAGTGGGGCCTGAGATTTTGCACTTCTAACAAGTTCGGTTCAAACCCACAAGCCACTCCTCAGAAGGAAGGTTGGGCAATCTACTTCCGTAGTGATACTGCCTTGGAAACCCAAGGAGGGGCAACACTTTTAGAACCTAGAAGTCTCGAGTATCAGTGAGAGCATATCAGAAATGTTTGGCCAGCTGGATCAAACCTGAAGCAAAAGGAACCAGAAGGGAAGCAAGAGACTTAAAGATAAGGGAGGGGTCCAGGAGAGGAACGTCTGGTGTAGGGAAGCACAAGTTTCATAGGAAGTGATATGAGAGAAACCAGGGAGGGAGTAGTCACATGGAGGAGTTTCAGAGTTGGAGCTCTTCTTTAAAATTTCATTTATTTTATTGTTGTTGTTGAGAATATATAGCAAAACATATACCAGTTCAATAGTTTTTGCGTGTACAATTCAGTGACATTGATTACACTCTGAGTTGTGCAACCATTCTCACCTTCTTTTCCTGAGTTGTTCCTCCCCCGTTAACATAAATTCACTGCCCCCTAAGGGCATTGTTGTTCTTGTTCTTTGGTTACCATAGAGTTGTGTCTGACTCATAGCAACCTTATGCACACCAGAATGAAACACTGCCCAGTCCCACACTAGCTCCACAATCCTTGCTATACTTGAGCCCATTGCCACAGCCACTATGTCAATCCATCTCGTTGAGGGCCTTCCCCTCATTTGTTGAGCCTCCACCTTACCAAGCATGACATCCTTCTCCAGGGAATGGTCCCTTCTGACAACATGACCAAAGTAGGTGAGATGAAGTCTGGCTATTCTTGTTTCCAAGGAGCATTCCAGTTGCACTTTTTCTAGGACAGATCTGTTAGTTCTTTTAGCAGTCCATGGCACTTTCAGCATTCTTCACCAGGACCACAACTCAAAGGCATTAACTTTTCTTCAGTCTTCCTTATGCATTGTCCAGGTCTCACATGCAATGAGGTGATTGAAATTTCCATGGCTTGTGTCAGGCACAACTTAGTCCTCAAGAAGACGTCCTTGCTCCTCAGCACTTGAAAGAGGTCCTTTGCAGCCAACTTGCCTAGTGCTATGTTGTTGTTGTTGTTATGTGCCGTCGAGTCGGCCCTGACTCATAGCGACCCCTCCTTGGGTTTCCGAGGCAGTATCACTACGGAAGTAGGATTGCCCAACCTTCCTTCCGAGGAGTGGCTGGGGCGATACTTTGTCTGATGTCCTGACTGCTGCTTCCATTGGCATCGATTGTAGAACCAAGCAATGTGAAGTCTTTGACAACTTCAATCTTTTCTCCATTCATCACAATGCTGCTTATTGGTCTAGTTGTGAGGATTTTTGTTTTCTTTATATTGAGATATAATCCATACTGCAGACTGTATTCTTCAATCTTCATCAGTAAGTGCTTCAAGTCATCCTCACTTTCAGCAAGCAAGGTTGTGTCATCAGCATATCACAGGTTGTTAATGATTCTTCTTCCAAGCCTGATGCCATGTTCTTCTTCATATAGTCCAGCTTCTCAGATAATTTGCTCAGTGTATAGATTAAAGTATGGTGAAAGGATGCAACCCTGATACACTCTCTTCTTGATTTTAAACCATGCGGTGTCCCCTTGTTCTGTTTGAATGACAGCCTCCTGGTCTATGTACAGGTTCCTCATGAGTACAATTAAGTGTTTGGGAATTCCCATTCTTCTCAATTTTACCCATAATTTGTTATGATCTACACAATCAAATGCTTTTGCATAGTCACTACAACACACATAAACATCTTTCTGGTATTCTTTGTTTGGAGCCAATATCCATCTGATATCAGCAATGATATCCCTCGTTTCACATCCTATTCTCAATCCAGCTTACACCTCTGGAAGTTCTATGTCAATATATTGCTGCAACCATATTTTAATTATCTCCAGTAAGATTTTATTTGCATGTGATATTAATGATATTATTCGACAATTTCCACTTTCTGTGGGATCACCTTTCTTTAGAATGGGTCCAAATATGGATCTCTTCCAGGCAGTTGGCCTGGTAGCTGTCTTCCAAATTTTTTGGCATAGCCAAGTGAGTGCCTCCAGCGGGGCATCCATTTGTTGAAACAGCTCAATGGGTATTCTGTCAATTCCTGGAGCCTTCTTTTTCACCAGTTCCTTCAGTGCAGCTTTGACTTCTTCCTTCAATACCATTGGTTCTTGATCATATGCTATTTTCTGAAATGGATGAAGATCGACCAGGTCTTTTTGGTACAATGACTCTGTGTATTCCTTCCATCTTCTTTTGATGCTTCCTGCATCATTCAATATTTTGCCCATAGAATCTTGCAATATTGCAACTCAAGGCTTAAAATTTTTCCTCAATTCTTTCAGCTTGAGAAATGCTGAGTGTCTTCTTCCCTTTCGGTTTTCTAACTCCAGGTCTTTGCACATTTCATTATAGTAATTGGCTTTGTCTGCTCGAGCTGTTCTTTGAAATCTTCTATTCTTTTATCTTGTTATTTCTTTTATCTTGTTATTTCTTCTATCTGCTTTAGCTACTCTCTGCTGAAGGGCAAGTTTCAGAGTATCTTCGGACATCCATTTTGGTCTTTTCTTCCTTTCTTGTCTTTTTAATGACCTCTTGTTTTCTTCATGGATGATGTTCTTGATATCATCCCATAATTCTTCTGGTGTTTGGTCATTAGTGTTCAATGCATCAAATCTATTCTTTAGATGGTCTCTAAATTCAAGAGGGATATATTCAAGGTCATTTTGGCTCTCATAGACTTGCTTTAATTATCTTCAACTTCAAGTTGAACTTGCAGATGAGCAGTTGATGGTCTATTGCACAATCAGCTCCTGGCCTTGATTTGGCTGAAGATATTGAGCTTTTCCAACACCTCTTTCCACAGATGTAGTCAATCTGATTCCTGTGTATTCCACCTGGTGAAGTCCATGTGTTTAGCCACCGTTTGTGTGGTTGAAAAAAGTTATTTACAATGAATAAGTTGTTGGTTTTGCAAAATTCTATCATGCGATCTCCAGCATTAATTCTATCATCAAGGCCAAATTTTCCAACTACCGGTGATTTTTCTTTGTTTCTAACTTTTGCATTCCAGTCACCAGTGATAATTAACACATCTTGATTGCATGTTCAATCAATTTCAGACTGCAGAAGTTGATAAAAAATCTTAAATTTTCTCATCTTTGGTGTTGGTGATTGGTGGGTAAATTTGAATAATAGTAGTATTAACTGGTTTTCCTTGTAGGTGTACGGATATTACCATATCACTGACAGCATTGTACTTTAGGACAGATCTTGAAACATCCTTTGTGATGATGAATGCCATGCCATTCCTCTTCAAATTGTCATGCCTGGCATAGTAGATCATATGATCATCTAACTCAAAATGGCCAAAACCAGTCCATTTCAACTCACTAATGCCTAGGATATCAATCTTTATGCATTCCATTTAATTTTTGACAACTTCCAATTTTCCTAGATTCATACTTCATACATTCCATGATTCAATTATTAATGGATGTTTGCAGCTGTTTCTCTTCTATTTGAATTGTGCCACATTAGCAAATGGAGGTCCCAAGAGCTTTGCTTTATCTGTATCATTAAGGTTGGTTCTACTCTGAGGAGAGCTCTTTTCCAGTCGCACTTAGAGTGCCTTGCTACCTAAGGGCTGGTCTTCCTGCACTGTATCGGATAGTGTTTCTGGTCTATTCATGAAGTTGCCTAGTAATGTATCACACAGTGTTTCTGTGCTATTCAGAAGGTTTTCCCAGGCCAATTATTTGAGAAGTGGATAGCTTCTTCCTTCTGCCTTGTCTGTCTCAATCTGTAAGCTGTGTTGAAACCTGTGCACCATGTGCAATCTTGCTGGGGTTTGAAACACCAGTGGCACTGCCTCAAGCCTCACAGCAACATGTAAGCCACCTTAGTAGGACAAACTGACTGACAAGTTTGTCTCTCTCAGCTGTCTGAAACCTCTCCACCCTCCCCTTAACTGGATCCCGTGGTGCTCTCTCATCCCCCGTTTTTCCCTGTTTCCTGCCCCTTAGGGTGGGGCCTTGTCTCCCTCCCCTTACCTGGGTTCCATGGCTCTGTCGTCCCTGGGTTTTCCCCCTGCTTCTTGTCTCTTGGGGTGGGGCCTGCCATCTAAAGGCATTGTTGTTGTTGTTGTTATTATGTGCCATCAAGTCAGAGCCGACTCATAGTGACCCCTCCTTGGGTTTCTGAGGCAGTATCACTACAGAAGTACATTGCCCCATCTTCCTTCCAAAGAGTGGCTGTTGGGCTTGAACTGCCAGCCTTCTGGTCAGCAATCAAGTGCTTTCGGCACTACACTACCAGATTAGATAAATTAGACAAATTCCTATCTAATTTTTTCAGTTGTCAATTTGGTCCCATATATATAGATCTTGAAAGAGATTGAAGCAGGTTTTCTTTACTAGCTAAGATAAACTACTGTGTGGTCTTAAGAAGACTTCAGGAATATTTTTGGTTTAAGATTTAAAGATTATCTCAGGGAAATAGTTTCAGAGGTAGAGTTTGAGCTCTTGAAGCTGCAAATTCTCATGGCCAATGTGACCTGAGTTGTGGTCATATGTGTAATATAAGGATGTCTAAAGAATTTTAAAGCTAGATAATCTAGGGGAAATTAAAAATCAGTTCCTGTCAAGTCTGTTATGATTCATGGCACCCCTATGTGTGTCAGAGTAGAGCTGCACTCTACTCTAGGGTTTTCAATGGCTGATTTTTCAGAAGGAAACTGCCAGTCCTTTCTTCTGAGATGCTTCTGAGGAGACTGGAATCTCCAATCTTTTGGTTAGCAACTGAGTGCTCTAATCATTTGCCCATCCAAAGATTCCAATCAGATCACCATTTGTCACTTGATTCCTTTGGTGTGTCAAAGAATTATGATCTGGATCAGGAAGTGGTAAAAAATATCAGAGAACCCTAGTGTCTAAATTTTAGATTAGAAATCAGCCAGTCCTATTCCTTAATTTTATGCATAAAGAATCACAAGTCCAGGAAGTAACTTGGCCAAGCTCACCCAGAAAGTAGGTTGAGAACAAACATTCTCCTCCTGAGCATCTTTCATTGTGTAGCACTATCCTTCCGCCAGGGGAAGGGGACCAACATTGCCAGATGAGTATACAAACATGCAGTGCTCTATGGTTCCTTCTCAAAGACTGTTATTCCCCACAACAGGAGTTGATTATAATGGAGTTGTATGAGTCCAATTTCAGGTGTGGCAACACAACCACCTTATCCTAGATGAACTTCATTCTGAAAAATTAAAAATTTCTACTTAGCACAAGCATAGTATCTTAGTTTCCAAGTGCTGCTATAACAGAAATACCAGAAATGTGTGGCTTTAAAGAACAGAAATTTATTTGCTCAAAGTTTAGGAGGTAGAAATTCTAATTCTGGGCACAGGCTATAGAGGAAGGTGTTCTTTGTGTCAGCTTTGTGGGAAAAATTTTGTCACAGCTTTTATATTTCTGGTCTTCCATGGTTCCACAGCATCTGTCTTCCTCTCATTTGTGCTTCCTTCTGGATCTAATCTATTATTATTTTTTTAAATAGCTCAGAAGTGATTAGGTTTAGGACATACCCTACATTGACCCAGCCTCATTAACATAGCAAAGAAATCCCTATTTCCACATAGGATACATTCACAAATGTAGGGATTAGGATTCCAACACATTTTGCGGAGATCACAATTCAATAAATGTTGTTGTTCTTGTTAGATGCCATCAAGTCAGCTCTGATTCATAGTGACCCTCTGTACAACAGAACAAAACACTGCCTAGACCTGTGCCAGCCTCACAATTGTTTCTATACCTGAGCCCATCATTGTAGCCACTGTGTCAATCCATCTCATTGAGGGCCTTCCCCTTTTTTGCTGACCTGCCATGTTACCAAGCATGATATCTTTCTCCCAGGAACAGTCCCTTCTGACAACATGACCAAAGTAAGTGAGATGAAGTCTGGCCAGTCTCACTTTCAAGGAGCATTCTGGCTGCACTTCTTCCAGGACAGATTTGTTAGTTCTTTTGGCAGTCCATGATACTTTCAGTATTCTTTGCCAACACCACAACTCAAAATCAACTCTTCTTCAGTCTTCCTTATTCATTGTCCAGCTCTCACATGCATATGAGGCGATTGAAAATACCAAGGTGGGTGCACCTTAATCTTCAAAGAGACATCTTTGCTCTTCATCACTTTAAAGAGGTCTTTTGCAGCAGATTTATCCTGTGCAATACATTGTCTGATGTCTCATTGAAGAAAATTAAGCAAGAACAACAGAAAAGTGATCCCTCTTCTAGCTCCTACCCATAGCTATCTTAGTCTCTCTTGCTGTACGTAGAGCTCCAGTAAATTTTGCCTTATAGGTGGGTTGGCAAAGTCTAAATTGGGCACTTGCTGAGAATTTTGCACAGTAACTTGGAAGTCCCAGATAAAAATAGATATAACTGGGATAGTTCATTTTGTGTATATTTTAAAGGAAGCAAGTCAAAACATTTATCTTCACCTCTTTTTCTTCCACATACCTGCTTAAAGAGCACACTTATCTTGGTCCTTTGTCTTCCAGGGCTTGATAAAGACTCTACAGATATGTTTTTCTTCCCTGAGAAAGATTTCAACTCCAAATCTGAGACCTCACATGTTTATTGGGCAGCCAGAACCAGGCAAACATCCTTCCCTTTGTCCAAGACCCCAGGAAAAGAAAGCTTGCCTGAAAATGTGGGTGAAGCAGCATTGATTACTGGTAAGTAAGCTTTTAGGGAGAAAAGAAATATATTTGAGATTGGGAAGTACCAATAGATTTGGAGGTTGGCAGGACAATAGCATCTGGGGATAGCAGATTTGGGGAACTAACATTCATTTAACACAAAGTGTTCTTTGATATTTATGTCCTCATTCAGTCCTCACAGCTGCTAAGGAGAGAAGCAAGGATTAAAATTGGACAGCCCATGTGCAAAAGGGCAATGAGCTGGCATCTTCTGACCTCCTCAAACTTCACAAGAAGAAAACACAATCACCATCAGCCACCCAAGGCTTATTTCTATGAAGCCAGACATACCACCACCCTCCAGACTTTTACCAATTCTGACACCAACCATCCCTCCCATGGCACTCACTACTTCTCTGCTGCATTTGAGAATTCACTGCAATGGCCACACAGAACTCACAGATAATATTCATGATTGTGGGTTTTATTAGGGAAGTAACAGGCTACAATTCAGGTTCAGGAACATGCTCAGGATACAGTTATTCGATCAGGACAGTTTCCCCTCTGCTGTGCCCTCAGGCATCCCTCTCCGGTCCTTGGCCTCTCGGTCTGGCCTCTGTCCTGCTTTGGCAAGTGTTACAAAGCTCTTCTTGCTCTGCTAATAAGTACACCTGCGTGTCCCCCACTCCATCAGCCAGCCTTCTGCCCAAGGGCACTCAGCTTTCTTGCTCTCTGGGCCAGGTTAACCCTCCACTCTGTCTTGTACCTCTTGGCTCCACTGCGACTGTTTCTCTCTGCTGGGGCATCTATCTCTGCCAGGGCAGCTCTCTGCTGGGATATCTCTCTCTGCCATGCATCTCTGCCAAGAAGATCCAGTGCAGAGATCTTGGGTCCAAGGATGCACTCTACTTCATTTCCAGCTCTTCTTTCTCGATGGCAATGAGATCTCCTCTCTGCCTCTAACCAAAACTCCAAACTCACTGCAGTCAAGTTGATTCAACTCATAGTGACCCCTCCTTGGGTTTCCAAGGTGGTATCCCTATGGAACTAGTTTGCCCAATCTTCCTTCTGAGGAGTTAGCAGTCAAATGCCTTAAGCATTATACCACCAGAGCTCCTCTCTGCCTCGTTGTTGTGTTGTTATGTACCGTCGAGTCGGACCCGACTCATAGTGACCCCTCCTTGGGTTGCTGAGGCAGTATCACCATGGAAATAGATTGCCCCATCTTCCTTCCGAGGAATGACTGGTGGGTTTGAACCACCAGCCTTCTGGTTAGCAGTCAAGTGCCTTAGGCACTATGCTATCAGAGCTCCCTCTCTGACTCTAGGAGGGCTCATTTTAAGGCTGGCAGAGTGTCAAAACTAACCAATCCAAACATCAGAGTTCTACATACCTTATTTGCATGGTCCCTCCCACCCACCCAGTAATCCAGTGTGGGTTACAAAGAGTATGGCTAGAAAAGCCATACCAACTAATTCACTGTAATGCACCATGCTTTCACCTTTCCAACATGATGCCTCCAAGAGACACCTAAAAATATGGATAAGAAGGGAAATTCCCAAAGGGTTTCCTTTGAAGTCTCCCTCTGCACAGGCCATAATCCACCATCTGGTTCCTGAGATCTTGCATGGTGGACTCCTGTAGAATTCAACCCTATCTTAGGCTGGGCTCTTTAAAGAACCAAAATAAGTGGCTATTTTTGCAGCATAAGAGTCAGTCTTGAGGAAAATCAAAAGCAAACGGGAATTTGGACACTGGTGTGAAGGCCTTCCCAAATTGGATTTTGAATCAACACTTATACATGAAATAATGATAGGAAACACGAAGTATTGATTTTTAAAATTTTTTTTACATGGGACATTTCCAATTTCAAAAGTAGAGAGACTAGTAGAATAAGCATCCATGTACCCATCACACAGCTTTGGTAATTATCAGCATTTTACCAATCTTATTTCATTCATCCCTGTCTTTTAAAATTGTTTTTAAAAATTTCTAGTTAGAATATTTTAAAGGAAATCACAGACATGAAGCCACTTCCCCTGAGCATTGCAGATTGTGATACTATAGATATCTCCTTGAGCTGGGAAGGCTGAGAAGTACTTGTATATTTGGTTCAAGAGGTTCTATTTTCTTGTGTCAGAAGAAATGACAAAAATAAGGGTAACCTCTGATGAGGTTTATTTTGGGGCAAAGCCTTTTTTGAGGACTTTTTCTTAGCCTGGTGTTACAAAAGAGACAACCCAACAATGCATCTTTCTCTGGTTTTACTCTAGAGAGGAAATGGAAGCGTTCACTTCAGTGTATTTCCGAGATGAACAGGCTATTTTCCAGAAAAGCAGGTGTGCCAAAGGCAGGTGGCCTTCCCTTCAATCTGCTGCTTGACCTGGGTGCTGTTGGGGACCTATCTTCAGGGTTCAGCCAATACCGGGACTTTATCCGCCACCTGCCCATCCACCTCTCCAAGTACATTCTAAGTATGCTGGGGAAGTTGGGGGATTCCTCAAGAGACCTTTCCTTTCCCTTCAGTGCTGAGGTTCCCAGGTCCACCTTATTTTTCTTTCTTTTTTTCTCAGGTATGCTGGATAAAAACACCCTGAACAGGTGTGCTTCTGTGAGCCAGCACTGGGCAACACTGACACATCAGGTCAAGATGGACCTTTCAATGCACACATTCATTCAGAACCAGGTGGCCGTCTTACAGGTACTTCCCTTCTGGGAGGGAAAGACCTGGAGACCAGTCTAAATCCCATGTTGAGGTTGGCCTGACTATGAGCCTTTCACTCCTCCTGGTCTTCCTTTAGCTGACCTTCTGCTCCTCACATTTGCTTCGTCAGCTTTAGCAATTGCTTCCCTTTTTGTCTGGAATTCCTGTTAATCATTGTTTATTCTCTCATTGTCTGTGTATCTAGCAGAGACTACATGCATATAAAACTCAGGAACAGAGAGGCAGAGCTTCTCCAAAATCTCACAAAGCAGAGAAATTTTTTTCCAGATAGCTGTAGTGCAGCCTAGACAATAAGAAAGCCATGAATGTGTTTCTGGATCAGCCTCATTTAGTATATGAATGTTTGTTGTTTTTGTTGTTAGGAGCCATTGAGTTGATTTCAACTCATAGCAACCCCATGTGACAGAGTAGAACTGCCCCACAGAGTTTTCTAGGCTATAATCTTTATAGGAGCAGATCACCAGGTCTTGCTCCCACGGAGCTGCTGGGTGGGTTCAAACCACCAACCTTTTGGTTAGCAGCTGAGCACTTAGCCATTATGCCACCAGGCTCACAAGGCCACATAGTATATTTTTAAGTTAAATGGAATTTTTCCCTGTATAGTACCTCTGGCATTTTTACTTCTCTGTTTCTAGCTTCAAGCCTAAACCCTAAACCATGGATTCTCAGTAGCTTGGATTTTTCCCAGCACAGGTAGATGAGACAGAATGGAAAGAAGCAGGCATTTTCCAGACCACAGTCTGACCGTCTGTTGTTGTTCTTTCTCCAGTCATTTGATAGTAATTATCCTCCTCAGTTCAGTCTTCACACACTACTGGCATAACTGGCCAGGCGCAGGCCTCCCTGACTTAGCCAGAGCTTACTCAACATCGTATATTGTGTTCCTCCACAGTATGTGTTGGAATTCTAACCCTTACACCTGTGGTTGTAATCCTGTCTGAAATAAGGCTTTCTTATTATGTTAATTAGATCATACCCAAGCGGAGCAGGTTTTAAAAGTAATCACTTCTGCGTTATAAGTAAGAGATTAGACACACACACACACACACACACACTGAGACAGGTGCCACTTAATGATAGTCAAAGAACAAAGGAATGACCTGGGCTATCAACACGGAAGGAATTGACATGGAGCTCTGGTAGCATAGTGACTAAGGCACTTGACTGTTAACCAGAAGGCTGGCGGTTCAAACCCACCAGCCACTTCTCAGAAGGAAGATGGGACAATCTACTTCCGTAGTGATACTGCCTCGGAAACCCAAGGAGGGGTTGCTATGAGTCGGGTCCGACTCAACGGCACATAACAACAACAACAACAACAGACCCTTGTTTGGACTTTTAGCCTCCAGAACTGTGAGAAAATTAATTTGTTCTTTAAAGCCCAGTGGTATCACTCGGGTTGGTGTCATCTCCCTCTCCATGGAGTTCCTTCTATACTGGACCATACTGAATCCTTAGTAATGTTTATTATCAATTTTAATCATAGAATAATATTCAATAAACATAGTTGTAAATTCCTTAAATGTAATATTTCTTAAATTAAGTGAATACTAACAACAAAATTATTTTGTAAAATCTTTCTACGTTGAATTACAACATTATTAATTACATTATTAGTAACTGAGTAGAAGCCTATTTTTAGTTTTCTCCTTTAATTACTACTTCATTCTCAAAAAAGTTATTGATATAAGTTCCTGAATAGTAATTGCCACAATATTGTAGCTAAAACACAAGAAAATATGACAAGATCAGTGACTATAAAAACAATCAGCAGCAACAACAACAACAAAAAAAACAGCACATGCTTGTAGTACATGCAGAAAAAAACACATGATTAGAAGTGTTATTGTAATTGAGTAATAATGACAGCTCTGACCTGGGCACATTAGAAGATTTAAAAAGTAAATTAGCATAGGGTTTTAGCCTTGTAAGTATATTGATAAATGTAAGCTGAGCTTATGAAAAATGTTTTTGTTGTTATAACTAATTACAGGAATATTTTTATCAAAAAAATAATAAATTTCTGATTAAATACCATACAAAATTTCTATAAACAGTCATTTTGATGTCATCCTTACTAACAGTGTCACCCAGTACACTCTGCAGACAGTAGGTGTATCTTTCCAATCTTGCTGAGAACTAGCTTTTTCTCCTTCCTCCTGTAGGAACCAAGAATAGCCATTTTCTGTTTGTTTGTTTGTTTTCAGGGTACTTACACTAAGGGTATAGATCCTAATTACGCCAATAAGCTTTCAATCCCAGTTCCTAAAATGGCAGATGATGGGAAGCGCATGCGTGTGAAAAACCAGAAATGGAAGCTGAGAACAAAGGTATGTTCCAATGGTATCTGGGGCAAGTAGCTGTGTCATGTTCTTATTGGCCATTGAAGGCTAAGTACTCCCCATAATGACTCAGCTCTCCCATAAGGACATAGGGTCATGACAGGCAACATTCCCTGGGGAGACCAGAATTCTGGATTGCTACCCACAAGCTATGTGGCCTTAAGAAAGTCACTTCCTCTTCTCCAGCCTCATATTCCTTATCTGATTTGGTTGTTCTTTCAGGGTTCTTCCTTACCTTACATCCCTTCTGCACATTGTATGTCCGTGCTACCAAGTCAGCTAGTAGAGACCTCAGAAGCCAGAAGCCATGTCAGCCATAGCTGGGATTCTCCTCAACCCCTATAACCCATGTATCAAGACTCTGTTGCAAAGGAATGAGAAGGACATGGGAAAGGCCTGGCTGGTCAAATATGTCCAAAGCCTAGAATAAATTAAGCTTTCCTACCTCTCACTTAGCTGCTGGTTCAAACCTACTAGCCGCTCCTAGGAAAGAAGTTTGGGCAATCTACTTCTGTAGTGATACTGCCTTGGGAACCTCACTTACAGGTTCATTCTGGTTCCATTATGCAAGGGGAGAGTTACTTACCTATAGACATCTCCACCAATTCTTGGGAAAAAATGAAGAAAAGTAAATGGAAAACTCTTTCATCTCTAAGCTCTGTCCACTCAGGCATGATGATCATTCCTAAAAACACATGCCCCCTATATCCTTCTCTCTGCTCAAGGTCCTTCTTTGTTGAATTATCCCTAACTACTGCAAAATAGATGCTTAATGAAGGGTAGTTTGATTCTGTCTTCCCATAAATTAGTTGTGTGGTATAAATTCAAATCTTAGAAATAGAAGCATCCTGAGAAATCATCTAGTTTGTGTCTGTAGGGGCTAGACAGGTCTCACAAATTAGTAAGGTGGTCTGGATGTGACCAGCAAAGAGTTACAGAACCATTGTGAGTTAAAGTGATAACTTCTCATCTGAAGGGAAGACTTGCTACTCAGTTACAGCTAATTGTTGCCACATGGGACTATACAATCTGAGCTTTCAAGAGAAGACAGAAATCTGGATGATTATGTGAAATATTTTGCTTTTCTTTAATGCTGGCAACCAATTAAAAAAATTTATAAACACTATGTGGGAGCTCTGCTGGTATAGTGCGTAAGGCATTTAACTGCTAACCAGAAGGCTGGCGGTTCAAACTCACCAGCCACTCCTTGGAAGGAAGACTGGGCAATCTACTTCCATAGGGATAACACCTTGGAAACCCAAGGGAGAGTTGCTATGAGTCAGAATCAACTCGACGGCAGTGAGTTTGGTTTTGGTGTTTTTTATGTGGGCCAAAGAAAACACATTTGTGGACCTCATCTGACCTGCAATTTTTGATCTCTGAGGTGGTCGATTCACTTATTTCATAGATGAAGAAATGAGGCTCAGAGAGGTTCAGATCTCATAGCCACTTGAGTGATGATGGAGACATGCTACTTCCAAGTCTAGTATTCTTTTAAGGATAACAAAACTAACACCTATCTTTCTGGATCATTCAGTTAGTCTGTCAAACAGGATGACTCAGAAGTGATTTCTAGGAATTTATGATTTAAGAAAGGGGAGGGTGAAACAGGTAAAGCAATGTGGAGACTAGAAGAGAACATGTGAAGTTACTCTTAGGGATGGTAATTGAGTACTCTCTATTGACCTAAAGCAGTATGCTAGACATGGTACCAAGGGCTTATATACATTATTTACTTGGTCTTCACTATAGGTCAACCAGGTGTCATTGCTCTTAGTTTATGAATGTGGACATAAAGGCTATGATGGTAGTGAACTTGTCCAATCATAGGTGGTCAGTGGCAGAGATGGGATTTGAACCCAGATCTTTTTACTCTCAATGACTCCACCATGTTGTTTCTAGGGTTCTCAAAATTTGGGAGATGAACAAGGGCCAAGGAATTCCAGCCTGAGCAGTGAGCAGTCAGGAAAGCTTCTCACTAATTCAAGCTGGGATATGAAGAGCTGTTTGGACACAGGAGGGGAGGAGGCAGGTTGGTGGATTCTTATAGAGAGAGACTTCTAGGTGGGCATCACTACTTGCTTAAAGGATAAGAAGGAAACTGGGCATTTCAAGGAAGAAAGTAAAGACATGGAGGAGAAGGCGAAGGTTTGGAAGGAGATTTAGGGAGAGAGGCACCCAAGAGATCTCCCAAATGCAAACATGATGCTGTGGTCTTCTATTCTTTCATGATAAACTCACCATGTTATTTCTTTCCTGCTAGTATAGCATAACTGTTATTTACTATTTGAGAGCAGAGAGTATGGTTAGGAAGAAGAATGGAACAGGGAGCTCAGTCATTGACGCCAGAATTTAATATGCCTGACATGCAATAAAGTGTGCGATAGAGCCAGAAAGGAAAGAAGGTAAAAAGAATTGAGAAAAGGAGGGAAGTATCCTGTTGAAACCTGATAAAATTTATCTCCCTTTTCCGGGTCCCAGATCTTTATCTGTAAAATGATGAGAATATTGGGTGGGACAAGTGATCTACTTTGTGTGGCAACTATAAGGACAAATCAAGTTTGAAGACTATGAAAACTTTGAGGAGCAATGCATAGAGTATGTAGCAATAATTCCACATGCATCTTGACTTCCCATGAGTATGCTCTGTACTGTCTGATACATACAATATAAATGAAAAACCTTCACTCCAGTGAAAAGGTCAGTCAAAGGACACTTGTGACTTTATTTTGTGGGCATACCCTTTGTGAGCTGGTTTGGGAGAAGTGCAATGAGAGATATTTGGACTTCAGCTTTGTAAGTTTGTGGAATCAGAACACATAGATAATACAAATAGGTGATAGAAGAATTTGGACCCTTGACTCAACATTTTAAAGTCATTAACCTTGTTAGCTTCTGGTCATTGGCCCCTTACCATGTAGCAGCAACCACAGCCTGAAGTTCAAGACCACACAGACCTTTTTGCCCTTGCCTTGGGAGATTCTGGTGGGATGAGCCTCTGAGACTCTAAGTAAAGTTGGAATTGTATTTTCACTTCAAGTATTTTGTTGTTAGACTGACTACAATCTGTGGACTGCATACCAGAACCAGGAGACTGTGATGGTCCAGATGGAGGAGAGAAATGTGTACTGTGGAACCTACAACATTCGGATTCTGTCTGATACGTAGGTACTGGGGTCAGGACTTAGGTCTTCAGAACACTTGAATTACTAACATTGATATCTTAGGATTCCCCTGACCCTTGTTTACTTGGAAGAACAATCCTCTCCTCACCTCAAGTTCTACACAAAACTAATATGAGATCTCATTTGGAGAATAAATGTTTGATTTTGTACCACTCTCAGCAGTGGGTGGTGGATACTTCTCCCTTATAATTTTGGTTGTACTGGCCAATAATCTTTCTCACAATTCACATGTATAATCTTCCTTTTTCTTAAAATACCTTTAATGTTTTATTATAACTTTAAAGTAACACGACTATTAGAAGAAAAATCTACCAAAGACCAGAAAAAGCAATGATTTCTTGTAAACTTTCACCTAGAGTTAACCATTGTTAATACTACTATATATCCTTTTGGAATTTTTATTTGAAATATAAACACATATTTTAAATAGAAATGGGATTATAGTATACATATTTCTGTAACCCATTACAACAAAATGTTGCTGATATCTTTCCATGTTAATTTTAAAAATTGTATTTATGATGATTGCATAGTATAACATCAAATGATGTTATGTTCCATAAAAAGACACTTTAACAATCAACTTTCTGCCATACTGTAGGCAGAGGACCTTACACTTCATTCACAGATATTGTAAATGCTACCTCTACTTTTTGGCCCTAAATCTTACTACCAAACTGCATCTTGAGCATAGACCAATAGAGGAAAGACAGTGCAGACAGAGCTGAGGCAATATTAAATTTTTATGGACAGTAGGGAGATTAGGGCTCTTTTGAAGAGTTGATGACTGATTGAACTCTAGATAGGACAAATGGAACAAGGACAAAAGTGTAAAGAATTGCTACTCATATATAGAGTGACTATATATCCCTGTTTATATGGAACGATCACATTTTACTTTGTGTTTCTGTGGTAATTCCTAAAGGTATCTGTTTTCATCAAAAGTATCTTGGTTTGAACAATAAATTATTTGGTAGCCTTACACATTTTTTACCTATTTACTAATAACCCTATGATGGTAAAATTAAACCAACTAATCCTGTTTTATTGAACTGTAAGCTTTGGTAGCATAGTGCCGAAGGCATTTAACTGCTAACAAGAAGGCTGGCAGTTCAAACCCACCAGCCACTCCTCGGAAGGAAGATGGGGCAATCTATTTCCGTAGTGATACTGCCTTGGAAACCCAAGGAGAGGTCACTATGAGTCGGGTCCGACTCGACGGTACATAACAACAACA